CTTCTTGTTCGTTGACGATAGAACTCTTGTTCAGACTGGTGAGGCCCAGGATGAGGAGGAGGATTCGCTTGCCAGGGCTTTGCGCGTCTCGAAATGGGTTGACGGCAAGCTTGGGCTCGCTGAGCATGAAGGGAAGCGTCAACTGTGGAACCGCCTGTGCGTTCCGGCCGCTCAGGTTGAGCATTTGGGCATCACTACCGCGCCGGGCGACACGAGGTTGCCTAGTGCGCGGAGCAGTGAGGACGATCTTTGTCATTTGGCTGCTGCCGTTAAGTGTCTTCCGGGTGGCATCCTCGTGCGTGAAAGGCTCCTTGCCGGCTTAGTGCTTCCCAAAGTTCTGTGGTCCGCTCCTCTGGCGCCTGCAGATAGCGCCGAGGTCGCAAAAGCTTTCCTCAGGTCCATACGTGGCCCGTGCACATGGTGGTGCAAGGGAAGGATCTGGGCGGATCGCATCAGTTTGCATCCTCAATTTGCCGCGGCCTTTGCTTGCCTCCGCGCCACCCGGCACCAGCCGGTAAATAACAATTCCGTTTTGAGGGCTGTCACTTCACTCACATCATGCTTCGCAGCTTAAGCTGCAAGTGCTGCAAGATACCGCGCATGGTGTTTTACTGCGTGCCCAGGTCAGTGCCAGAGCTCAGGTTGCGCTTGCCGTGCGTGCGGTCCCTTTTGCGCAGGGCCGGCATGATGAGTGTTTTACTGCAGCGGCCGACGACGGCCATGGCCTACGCGTTGTCGCGCATTCGTTGGTCCTCAGCAGTGTGGTTGCTACAAGGGCTGATGCCGAGGGCTGTGAAAGGATTGATATTGAGGCCCAGAGCCACCCTCTTTGGAAGCGCTGGCAGAAAGGGCTCAGTGGTACAAGCCTCACCAACCTTGCCATCTTCCGTGGCGGGGCCATCAAAACCCGGACGAGACGCTTCTGGGGCCGAAATGCCTCGTTATGCGAATGTCCACGCGGACACCCTGTGTGTTCAGCACGGCACCTCTTTCAAGAGTGCCCAAGGCTCTCGCAGATGCGCTGCAGGTTGCAGCAACAGCACGGGCTTAGGCCCTCTTTTTGGACTTCAGTGCCGAGCGAACAAACTTGCCAGCTCAAAGTCGGGCTCATGATGCTTCCATCCTCATCCTTCAACCCTACACCCTAAACCCAAAAACCTGCAGGGTTAGAGTACGGGATCGGAATCCTTCCAGTAACACTGGAACTCTCAACCTTGATCCTAAGCACTAAACCCCAAGCCTACGAGACCCAAAGCACTTTGAACTGCTTGCAATGCTGGCATTCTTTGCTGGAGGCCCTCACATTAAATCCAGGGATGCAGGAATCAGACCATCGTTCCATGATGCGCAGGCATGCAGAATCAAAACCCAGAAATGGAAAAATCCAGCCGCCATCACTGGAACATACTGACACAAGGTCAGGGACCAGGCCTTCGGCTCAATAACGCCTCGCATTCAATTCTCTAAGCAAATACACTGAAAAAAAAAGAACAAACAGTTTTGCTCAACCTGCGTAGCACCATGCACTACTTCGCAGATCCCATCTTCCCACGCAAAACTCAGCGGGCAGACGCATTGGCCCCCAGCGACACGCAGCTTCGGAACTTTGCCACCGAGCACTTTGCTCGGGATCTCCGGGAACAGCAAATTCCTGACAAGGACCGCAACGCACGAGTCCGAGCACGGGAGCAGCTCTTTTGGCAGTCATCTGGCATGGCATTGTGGGAGCTGGTAGGGGGTGGAGTACCTATCTTCGAGGAACCAGCATTTTACAAAGCCTTTCAACGCAGCTTTGAGAATGATTTTGTGAGAGACTTCAACACCAGGTACTCTCAGGAAGCCTCATAGAGTCTCACACCTAGCCATCTCAAGGCACAGCGTCAATGCACAAAGCAAGGCTCCACATCTTGCTCAACTGCCATAAACACTTTTAGCTGGCCAGCGCGGGCTCCTCGCCCGGTCACTAGCAGCCCAACACTCAACAGGCACTCTAGACAGGAGAGGCAACCCATTCATACCTCAGGTCGGTATCAGATGGCCATTCACAGCCAGCCTCCGGTCTCGGTTGGCAAGTCAAGTGATCAAACGTCAGGAATTCAGATGTAATCATTTGTCTCGGTGACCGGAGATGGGTTCGCCGCTCAGAAAAGAACGGAGATGAGCTACCCCACAACAAAAAACGATGTCAAGCACAAGTGCCAGGGCATGAAAGCCGATGGTCTCGGCTTCCTGCTTGCATCACAGGCCCATAGCAGAAGGGAACTGTCTGAGGCTTGATCAGGAGCCCAGACTTCAAACGTCAAGCATCCAAAGCGCCTCACATCTGATGCATCAAACGACGCCTCCCCCGCAGGCACCTGGCCCAAAACCACCCCAGTCAGTAGCGTGCAACTCTAGGCCATGGCGCCAAAGAGTCAACCACCTCCAGCAAAAAAGCCTGCTGCCAAGACCGGGAAGCCTGTGCTCAAAAAGCCGAGCAAGAGCAGCTCGATGACTCCTGAGCCAGACGGGCCACGCCAACGCACTCTCACCTGCAGAGGGCGCGGCGCCAGATGCGCCCGCGCAAAGCCGCACCATTCGAACCGTTCGTGCCCGCCATGTACAGTGCGTTGGGCGCTGTCTACGTTCTGGTACGTAATCTCAGAGCCAGCAGTAACAGAGGCACAAAGTGAGCTACTCAGCGCCCATTCAGGATGCATGAGCAAGTAAGCACAGCTTTACCAGAACCATCAGCCAGCATTCATTTGGCTCAGCAGGTTAACCAAGCAAAGCCACATTCCTGCCATGCACTACTTCGCTACACCAGCATATCCTGAACAGGAGCTCCAGGATGCCTCTCTTCAGACTCCCACCGACACGAAACTTCGCAACTTTGCGACAGAAATAGGATTCCAAATTCTTGAAGAAGCAGGAACTGAGTTCTGAGGAAAGGAAGTCCAAGGTCCGCCTAGCAGAGTCGAAAGTCTTTGCAGCCTCGGGACACCTTCTATGGTACATGGTCTGGCAACAGATTTTTGATTTGCATGATCAACAGGATTTCTTTGACGCCTTTGCAAAAAGTTTTGGCGTAGAGTACACGGAGGAGTGCATCTCACGCTTTGGGACGGATCAAAGACTGGACCTCTCACAGCCGTCAAACTAATAGCAAGGCGCAGACGTAAAACTGATCCACACAGGCAGCAAGAGCACTGCATAAATGATAAGCTGTATACGGCACGAGTCAGCAGCCCACCAGCATCCCCGTGAGGCCCAGAAGAATGTTTGCCATTCACTCAAAGCAGTTCCAAGAGTGAAAGGCATACGCACTTGCCAGCAGCCAAGCCACTCAGGTCTTGACTTCAGTGATCAGGCAGTCTCCGACTCACAGCTCTAAAGGAGAGGGCTCGCCTCTCTAATTAGCGCTGTCATCAGCTCAGCTATCTCAGCAAGTCACAAACGCTCTTAGGCAAAAGACCGGAGCACTCAGTTCCAGTCACCAGCGACAAGGACACGCATGCGAGATCCGTCAGCAGCGTCGTGAGTGCGTGAGTGAGTGAGTGAGTGAGTGAGTGAGTGAGTGAGTGAGTGAGGGAGGGAGGGAGTGAGTGAGTGAGTGTAATTGTTCTTGTTCTTGTTCTTGGTCTTCTTGTTCATGGTCTTCTTGTTGTTGTTGTTGTTGTTGTTCTTGTTCTTGTTTTTGTTGTTGTTGTTGCTGTAGCTGCTTGCTTGTGCAAGGGCTCTTACTGTTGGTTTCTACTCGGCCCGGCTCGTGGGCTCCACGTCTGTAATTTCTACTGCTTGCAGATCAGGCATGACTAACACGACACTACAGCATCTGGAATGACCAAGATTTCACTTCCCTCAGCGTTGTTAGCTGCTCAAGTCGGAGCTGGGGCAGCGGCAGCGAAGTTTCTCTGGACTTGGCCTTAGACTTGTCCATCTCATGTTCACGACGAAAAAAAGATACATTCATCTGAAGTCCCAGCGCTGCCTGGACTTCAGCCAGCAGGCGATCCTGGATTTCCCATCAGAGAGCACAGAATGTTAGGCCATGCCCCGACCCAAGCCGCGGACTGACAGCTCTTCTGCCATGGAAGAGTGAGATGCGAGGATCCTTCGTGGCTTGCACCAACTGAGCAACCCCATCCCTTGACTGCAGTACATCCCACAAGAATTGGCACGGCCTTCTTAGAAGGAGCAGCAGTTTCTCCGCTCCCAGCGGGTTTGCAACAGCCAGGCAGAGCAGATTCTGCACCTAAGCACATGAGACGTCGCCAAGACAGAGCACCATGTCCACTTAGGCAGCAACCCAAGGATTCAAGACAGTGCACTGAATACCAGACAGCATCACCTAGGTTGAGCATTTTTGAGGGGGCGCTCGTGGAAAGCATGGGCTGCCGGCTGCAATGCAGGTACATGCCTGACCTGAGCTGCGGCAGCAAGGTCAGCAACACAGTTGAACACAAGAATATCTCCATTGAGGCTTTGGGTGCCTTGCTTTGGGCACGCCCCACAGAACCTGGACATCCTGCAGTTCATGTGGGACAAATACTCCACATCCTCCTTTAGCACAGATGGCATGTTCAGTCCATCAAGAAGATCGCAGCCCTTCATCAAAAACCTTTCAGTCAAAGCATGTCATGCCCTGAACCAGTACAGCTAAACAGAACAGAAGCCCATCGCATAAGCACACGACTGTGCCCACGCCAGCGCACGCTCCTCCAAACATGGCTACATGCCCGATTTGCTATTTGAGAAACATCTGTGGTTGACACAAGTGAGGCAGAGACTGCTCCAAGCCGAGTGGTCAGGCAAAGATGGATGCGTAACCTGCGTCTCAGAGCATCCAGAGCATCAGTCTGAGCATCTCAGTCTGCTCGTTGGAAACCCTCCCCTGTGCTCACATGATTGTCCCTTTCACCTCCTGAAAACTGCTATCTGGTAAGTCATTCGGCTGCAAGTTGGTCTCATACAGCTGCTTCGCAAGCTTTGAGAGATCTACAGTACGTTTAAGAGCTCGTCTAGAGCAAAACCTGCCGGTTGAGAGCAGCTCCCAAGCAAGTTTCGTAATCGTGCACACTCTTGAACGGATGAAAGGCCACAACATTCGAGTCGAGGCAGTTCCGCCAGCCAGGTTTCGGATGACAGTGTGCCTCCAGCAGAAGTTCCGGCACAAAGACCCGTTTTACATTTGCAAATCGCGAGAGGCATTGGTCCAGCCAAATGTCCTCCCCCCACCAAGTTGTGCAGTGCCCATTGCACTTCTCGACATAATCAAACTCCCAGAACTTCTCGCAATGCTCGTGGCATTCCTGCCCGCCATCAAGAGCCTGCGCGCAGTCCAGCGCATGTCGCCCAAGGCTTCTCAGAGCTCCCTGTGAAAAGATCTCAAGAGGGCCATGCAAACCATCTTGGCAATTGTTCAGATACTTGCCATTCTCTCCCATGGTCATTCCTTGCAATGACAGGATTGGTACCAGCCGCTGGACAATGAAGACGGTGTCAGGATCTGCCTTGATGGTCCAGTCACACTGCAAGTAGTCACCATCCAGCAAGACTTGCCGCCATACTGCCATGAAGGCGCCTAAATTTAGTACAGTGATATAGGGACCACCCAACTCTGACATCAAGGTGCTTGACACTTGACGTGCGACCAGGCCGGGAGCCAGTTCTAGGCGTGCGGAGCTGTAGATGGCATGCTGATCACATGCAAAAATGCCGCCGCCGAATCTGTACTGCATGACAAGCAACTCTTGCTCATACGAATTGGGAAGAAATACTGCTAGACAGAGGGTTCTTGTTGTAGAGGTTGACGGAGAAGGCGCTTGTTCCGGTGGCTGAGGCATGGCAAAGAAATCCATCTCCTCCTTCGGCCACCAGATCTTCTCCTTGACGGGCTGGCGGGAGCAGGGCAGGCCTCCAACCACGTCAGGATTCCTTACAGGCTTCACTTCTTCGTAAAGCTTGCTGAATGCCTTCCTGAAACACCTGTCGGTCAATCCAGACTGGTTCCGTCGAGCACCCCAGACAAATGCCTCGCACTCGGTGGTCTCTGTGCAAATCTTTTGGCACTCGCTGGCTGAATGCACGTTGGCGAGTACGGGAAGCTCGCGTGTGGTGAGCATGTCCATGCCTACGGTCTGCTTGGGACAATCATGCGCAAGTTGCCATTGCACAACCTCTTCCATGTTGGCCTTCTCTTTGATGAAGACTGGGTGGTGTGAGTACTCGTAATATCTCCTCTTCCCAAGTGAGGAGTTGGGATGCTCTACATGGAAGACTTTTGCCCAAACTTTTTGGGGAAGGACTTGGTCCTGAGAACTAGGTGCCCAAGCATTCAGCACCTCTCCCGGATCTGCTGCAACTGTTGCAGTACTCTGAGTAGATGGAGGGCGCACGATGCCCAGCAGCGCTAGGGCCGCTAGTGAGATGGCCAGGAAGCTGCAAGGATACCACGTGTGGGTGGAGGAACGGCCCATGCGGCCATCATGCACGGGCAGAAGGTGTCCTTCTTCATCTATCCGGGGCGGCATGATCTTGGCCTAAACTCACTCAGACTTGAATTAAAGAGCTGCGAACAGCACGTTGGCATCACGGAAGCAGCTAGATGTATGTTAAGATCCAAGGCCAACAGTAGCAGCCTTCATCAAGTGCTGCCAATACACCACTAGTGTGATATGGGAAGCAACTTGGAGACCTTTCTTACTGGGGCTCTACGCACAAGTGACAGGTATCATGCAGACACAGTTCAGACATTGCTCTGCAGCCATAATCACAAAGAGCACCCGAGATTGATCAACATGTGTCAGTGCTGAAAGCCTGCGAGCTAAACGCCATGAGCAGCGTCTGCCAGCACAAACTTACTTGAAGGACGGCGTTCTCAGGGCAGGGCGCCATGCAATACAAGCTGGCCGACTCCTGGATGAGATCAGGTGAATCATGGTGAATCTGAGATGGAATTTGAAGGCTCATGTAGACGCATGTATGTAGCAACGTAGCTGTGTTTTTGTCGACTCGGAGCTGGGCCGAGAGCGTCGCAGCCAGGAGCCTGCTCCGGGCCCCTGGAGCTCCCGCAGCACAGAGCGCTGCCAGCGCGTCGACTCCTACGAATGCTCGGCAATCTCTGCTCAGGGCTGTGAAGTAGATGCAACGTCCACCTGCACCTGTCGGAGATTTCGATTCCTTAGCATCTTTCCCATTTCTGAGACATGGGATACTTGATTTCAACATGCTCCCGCAATGCTGTCAGTTGATCCAACTGGAGTGTTATCAACAGTGTTTCCTCGCAAGATCTTTCTCTTGACCATGTTTGGAGTGGCTCACTGCATCCAAGGAACAGAAGCTTCAGCTGCATCCCAAACTGCCGGCAATAACAGTCTGCCTTGAAACCACACCGTCTGCCATGAGTTATTCAAATGTTCAACCGAAACGCACGCGCCTTGCCCATGCACCTGGGAACAGCACTGAGATCCAGGCTGAGAACTTTAGGCAGACTTGCAATTGAGGCGTTGCAGCAAGTTGCCACATTGGAGGCGCTCTACCCTAGTGACTGCAACAACCATACCCCAGGCCCACACCAAGACAGGATGCTTCAAGTAGACGCCTGGTCTAACTTCCCTGCAAAATCTGGTTGCAGCAGGGCTTCCCATGGAATCTTTTGACTGGCCAACATGGGGAGAGCCACCTGAAAGGATGCCACAGAAGCTCACTCCGGCCTGCATGGACCAATCCTTCGCGCCTTGGCCAAGAACCTTACACAAGCCAAAGCCAGCTGATAGTTGCTGACCCAGTTGGCTGGCCAACCTGTTGCATTGAGCTCTGCACCTGTCGAAGTTGTGACATTGCCTTAGGGGTCATCAGCAAGCACTCTGTCCCAAGATTCGTGAACATATGCAGGCTTGGATAAGTCTCAACACACCTCAGCAGTGCATACTGCGAGAAAGTCGTGTCGCCACTTCAAGGTTCCAGACCCTATGTGACTCTTCAATTCCTCCACCTCCTGCTGTCAGCACAGTGAAGGATGTCTATGGCAGAAAGCTCATCGATTCCAACAAACAGCACTCCTGCATCTGTTCACCATAACCTTGAAAAGGAGGTGGAAACGAAATCAAAGCAGCAGGCAAGACATCATAACACATGTGATAGACATCCTTGAACAACCACAGAGATTGACATGCAAATTGCACTTACTGCTTTGAACACGCAAGACTAAACACCTGCCGGAGTAGCAAGCAGACATCCATCTTTCCAAACTGATCGCCATGACCTGCCAAGAAGGCTCCACCACATGTAAATCAACGAGTCCCCGCTTCCCAGCTCCTTGCTTCCGGCACAATCCTCAGGTCTTACCTTTCTCACTTGTTTTTTCTTGTAAATTGCTGGTCAGTCTCGGTCTACGTTCCTTCTCCACCCTTCCTTCATCTCCTGCTTGCCCACCTACTTCTGCCTTTCAGATTGCCAAAACCCTTACAACGCTCCACCTCATCCTCTTTTATCCTCTCGCTCACTCCCTCCTCTGCCTCCGCCTCCACCTCCACCTCCTCACACACTCTTCTTCCTTCTGATCCTCTTCCTTCTGTGCAGTCTCATCGAAATCAACATCAGCCCAGGATCACAAGGTCTCTCTATACTTGTGTCAAGAAGAGAAGACTTTGTGAGTTTGGGATCACTTGTGGACTGCTTGGGTTTGTGGTCTCAGGGGCAGCTTTGCTCTGGGGATTTGAATGAGCTTACAAGACCACTTACTGCACCACTGCAACAGTCCGACCCACAGAAATCCTTGCAAGAAACAACACGTACCCTGTAAGATAGACACATTCAGGACACCCTCTTTCTTTCCAGACTGTCCTCCATAAACGAAAGGTAACAATATCTTATGACAGGGTAGAAGTTACTCTGCTAGCCCGGCGATTGAAAATGACCTCCTTACAGTCACGATGCCAGCATCTTTGTAAACATTCTTGCACTCGTCTGGCCCGTGTAGCCCACGTGCAGCGAGCTGTTGTGGCAAACGTGCAGCGATCCAGTTGGCCGCCTTCTCCAGCAGCCCAGACGCCCCGCCTGATATGTCCGAACTGCTCATCTCCGAGCCTGATCACTTATGCTTTATGTGACGCGGACCCGAGGGCAACAGCTGAGCTCTAGATTTGAGACACACACGGAGAGCACCAAGCACCGCTTGAATCGGAAAGGCCTGCTCAGTTAGGTTTGAGTTCTGTCCCTTCAGCTTGTCTGACCTACAGTTCAGGACTTGCCGCGAACGCTATCCTTGGGTTCAGTCCGTTCACTTCACTTCTTTCTAGCTTCCCTTGCTGGAGAAGAACTGTTCAAAATCAAGTTTCCGGGCCATTGAAACGACAAAATAAGAAAGATCAAAAAACACATTCTGTTTACAGTCGACTTCGGTGGACATTGGTGCACAGACACCAGCAACCTTAGTCCTAGAGATTCGGATTTCAGAGCTTCAGGACTTTAGGTTTCATTGCTCTTGGATTTGTTCAGGTTTTGGGGTTCACGCTTTTCAGGGTTCCAGGGTGTGGGGATTTATGGCTGAGTTAGGGTGAAAGCACTTAGGATTTCAGATTTCGGAGTTGAGGGAACACAGGTTGAAGGTCCAGAATTCCTGAGCTTTCTGGTTTGCCTTCGCATGTGGAGGGGGGGGGCTTTAGGGTGGTTTTGCTCTCTGGAGTTGTTGCCAGTTCTGCCTTGTAGGGCTCAGGGGCAGAGCATTTGAACGTTTTGCTGTTCACATGTTGTAAAGTTAGGCCTTCGAGGTGTGGAGTTGAGAGCCCGACCATGTTGGGTCTCAGGGTTTTCAAGTCTTGGCCCTTCAACAAGATTTGTCATGGCTTGGAGCATGGCACCTTAGGAGGCTTAAGGCCCATTGTTGGCTTGAAGTTTAATGGTGATCGAGAACTTGTGGTTTGGGACTATGTTCGTGGTTTAAGGAGCAGGGGCTTTCAGAAGAAAGTCTCGCTGTCTTACGTTTTTCAGTTTTGCGTTGTTTTGTTTTGGCCGGTTCGGGGTTTGGAAGTTTTGAGCTTCGAAGGGCTCCGACGTTCGTGCGTGGTCTATAAAGTCTGAAAATTTCGGGTTCTCGGTTCTAGTGCTCAAATTTTGCGGGCTCTCTTGGGGCTGACGGCTGAATCCCGTAGAGCTGGATGCACAAACAAGAAACATCTAAGAAGGATTTACGATTGCAAGCCCGGCCCTAAGGAATTGCCTCGACTTTTCATTGACGGCATCGACCCTCCACTCCGATATGATTCGCATCATCGTTTTCATCGCCGACGGCAGGTCACACAGCTATCTGCACTCGCCCGCCAGCTGTTTTGTATGAGAAGGCATCTCAACAAGAGTTTTGAGAAAACTTCGGCATTGCGACTAGATACTGTGATTGGTCGGAAATCAGCTGGTCGCATTGGGGTATTTGTTCTAGCGAGCAGCTTGAACACAGCGTGCCCCCAGTCCGACGACATCTTGGCCATGGTCAGGAACCCGTGGTAGAAATCTGCGAACGCTGCGAGCAATTGTTCCTTACGACAGAGCGCTTTGAACACTTCGGCGGGGACATCATCTGGCCCTATTGCGTGGCACCAGTAAACCGCCTTTTTCACCTCCACGTTGTTGAAGAGGGTGGCTTGGCTTGCATCCAGCCCCTCGGCAATCATGTCGAGCTCTCTGTCAAGGTCAATTTCAAAACTGAATGAGCGTGATTCTGAACGTCCGTGCCCGTGCCATCTGGGCTCAGATGGAAACACTCCTCTTCAACCCACGACTCTCCTTTCCTAACCACCTGTCGGTAACACATCCAGCATCCAGCGGATTGTTCAATCTGGTCCGTGTCCAGGTCTCCCATTCGGTTCAAAGCTGGCTCAAATATCGCTTCCAGTCCGCAGTACATCTAATTCCATTCGCCATGGTTCTATGGAGGGCCACGCGCCCAGCCC